AATGGTTGCTACCTAAAAGGCTAAGGAAGAATAACCATTAATGGCAGAACTTCCTGTTAGAATATTAGAAATGCACGTATAATCCCGGATTTTACTGAAATGCTAAACACTGATAATAGAAAGAGGCTCTTTACCACTAATTTGGAAAAAATAATTAAAAACAAAAGAATAATGAAGTCTTTTAAACAACGTTATTTGTCACAGGAAAAAAACACTTAGAACAAACAAAGCTAAACAAGCATGCCCACTGGGACAGAAGGAGAGCAGGTGGCTTGAATAAAAGAAGGGGAAACAGAAGCAGTTAAAACATTTGAAGAGTAACACCACCACAGACAGGCGTCTTCAGACAACCCCCAGAAAGGAGCACCAGCGACAGCAGATAGCAGCCATGGTCTGAGCCACCGGCAAGCTCAGAACGTCCCCAAGTCCAGGATGCAACATCCAATACTGTCGCCTACCACGGGGGGCGGGGGGGGGGGGTGTGAACCTGGCGGGCCTGACAGCAGCTCTTCACGACACTCTACTGCCGTTCCCGTGGACAGTGAGTCACCACAAAACCGACCAACACAAAAACCCAACATGACAATGATACTACTGAAGATCCAAACATCGCGCTGAGTAACAGAAGATTGGTCGTGAAAACCCAGTGTTGTTCCACATCCCTCCATAATGAGGCGGAATCAGGAATGGGAGGAACAATCATTCCTAACGATCATTTCCTGGACCAACGACAGAGCTTATGACGCTCCTAGCCCCTCAGGGATCTCCTTTGCCCCCGTGAAGACCACGGAACCGTTCCATCTGGGTCTCTTCGCTCCGTACCCTCATTCTGCTCTGCTGGGTGGCACTGAAATTCTGAGTGTCTGTGTCTTCATACCAGCTGCCATGAGAACGTGTACAACTCCGTGTGTATTTGTGTGCAAATTCACATCAGTCTATATTTAAATTGATTTCCTTAGTGGATTTTAGGCTTTTTGGTTTCTTAATAACATAAATACCTGCAAGGGACGTCACATAAGATGCGATCGTAGAAGAGAATCTCTTTCCTCCCATTCACATCTATTTGGAGTCTAGGTATGCTGGACGCATCGTGGTTGACCACCATGATGCAGGGGCTGCTCAGCCTTTTGGCCTGATGAACGAGCAGATAGCAGCGCTTGTTGTCCACATCATTCGCAATGACGAACCCCTCTGAGAACAGAAAGTTACAGTGACAGGTGAAATGCAGCAGAAGTAGAATAATTTTCTGAAATACGTACGCTCCTGGTTGGCAGGCTTCAAGAAGCAGCAGTCCACCAAACTTTAAGACCCAAGCATAAGATTTGCCAGAATAAGCTAAGTAGTCTAGAAAGATGGCTCGGCATAGATTTTTATGATCACATAAAATTCTAAAACTGCAAGATCTACTTTTCCAACTACTGAACAATTACTCACTTTGTAACAATTATTATGCCAAAAACATCTATTACCTTTAATAACAATTAAAACAAAGAGAGCGGAGAGAGAAAGGGGTAGGAGACAACAGAATCCTGACAAGTGTTTAAAATACTGCACGTGTATGCTGAGCCTCCACTCTCGACCCTGCGAATCAGGTTTCTGGGGTGGGGCCCAGGCTACTCCTGAAGGCTGCCTGGGCGATTCTGGTCTGACCCCCTGGCTAAAACCCAGGTACAGCCCCTTATTTTTGGTTCCACCACCGGCAAAAAGACACATACGCCTAAAAACAGTTTATAGTCAAGATCACTCTTAAGAAAATATGAAATGCTAAACACTGATAATAGAAAGAGGCTCTTTACCACTAATTTGGAAAAAATAATTAAAAACAAAAGAATAATGAAGTCTTTTAAACAACGTTATTTGTCACAGGAAAAAAACACTTAGAACAAACAAAGCTAAACAAGCATGCCCACTGGGACAGAAGGAGAGCAGGTGGCTTGAATAAAAGAAGGGGAAACAGAAGCAGTTAAAACATTTGAAGAGTAACACCACCACAGACAGGCGTCTTCAGACAACCCCCAGAAAGGAGCACCAGCGACAGCAGATAGCAGCCATGGTCTGAGCCACCGGCAAGCTCAGAACGTCCCCAAGTCCAGGATGCAACATCCAATACTGTCGCCTACCACGGGGGGCGGGGGGGGGGGGGTGTGAACCTGGCGGGCCTGACAGCAGCTCTTCACGACACTCTACTGCCGTTCCCGTGGACAGTGAGTCACCACAAAACCGACCAACACAAAAACCCAACATGACAATGATACTACTGAAGATCCAAACTGAAATCTACCTACTATGGCTTAATATAGCAACACCATATACTTTCACAGAAGACACACGTAATTCTAGAATGAAGCCACGCTTCCACCCCGATGCACAAACACGTTGGTTTAGGAACCAGTCACAGTGGCACGCGAAATGTCTAGTTCTACTTTCAGGGACAGAAACCCATCTGCTTGTCACAGAAGGCTTCAAGACCCAACCCACAGGCAGTGTTACCATCTCTTCCTCATCTACACCCAGCCAAGTGGCATTCCGACCCTCCACAGAGCAGTCCAATGCATACCTGGGAAAGGGACATTCATGTCGGCATGTAACATTTCAATTAACTGCGTGGTCTTTGATCCAGGCGCTGCACACATATCTAAGATCTATTAAAAAGCAAGAAATGTTTGAGGTTTTAAGAAATCAAACATTCAACACTTAATTTAAAACAATTTTATGAGTCATTCTAGTATTTTGATTTCTAAGACTTAAATACATTTCTTTGCAGAAGGAATCTACAACGTGATATATTTAACTTCCAGGGATCTCAGGAGAAAGACACTCTCTCCCCAAGAACAGAATGACCCTACAGACCAGTGGAAGCACTCAATCCAGGAGACGACGAGCAAGGACACCAACTGCAAGCAGCACTATAAGCAGCCTGCTAAGGGACAGAACTCCCAGGCCTCAAACAGCCCAGCCACTTGCTGGCCCCCAAACCCTGAGCTAGTTGCTTCTATTTTTCTTTGCCTCCTTTCCCTCATCTGGAAAAAACAGGGACAGGGAGAGCATCTACCCTCACAGGGATGTGTTATGTATGAATTAATGAATTAATTGAATTAATGTATGAGAAGAGCACAAAGCAATGCTTGGCATGTAACAAGTTCTCAGGACGTGTTCATCACGATTTTCAATCTGAGTCAGTCAAGACCGATGATCTGTGCAGTAAACACGTTAGTGAACAAACTTTAAAAGAGTAGAAACACAGTTATGGGTTGTAAAATTTAAATACAACAAAAATGCGAAAAAGAACCTAAAATAAAACACAGCATTCTCCATCAAAAGCATGAAAAAAAAAAACAAGAATTATATTAAGAAAAAAAGGTGTCAACAAACAAAGCCACTTTCTGTTTAACACACAATACCTTATGGTGAGGGTGAGCATTGAGTAACAGTGGTGGAATCATGCTAACGGCTTCTTGACGACTGATATTTCCCTTAGAAAGTAAAATTAAAAAAAAAACCAGGAACAATATTTAAAAAGGCAGAAATTTTCAGTATCAGGCATTATTTCATATGCAACAGAAAAAGACCACATAATCCTCATACATGCAATAAAACAGTTAATACTATCACATAGAACATTACGTAAATAGGACACGTTTTTATCCTAGTGGGTAAATGGTTGCTACCTAAAAGGCTAAGGAAGAATAACCATTAACGGCAGAACTTCCTGTTAGAATATTAGAAATGCACGTATAATCCCGGATTTTACAAAAGAAAGGGAAGTTTAAGCTTATGCTGCCCAACTCGCCCTCCTGAGAAAGAACGGAAGCTGGATGAGCAGCTCAGAGGTGGAGAGAGGCACCGCCATACCCTTGGCAGCAGGGAGCGAGCCCCATGAGCACAGGACACAGAGCCACTGCCAGCAAGTTGTCCCTCTCAGCTAAAACTGCAAATTCTATTTCAGTCCTGTTTGTTTGTAGGAAGAGCCCCTGTCTGTTTTGTCCTCCTGAGAACTGCCCCTGAAGAAGATAAAGAGCCCAGCCAGCGCTCCCACGTTCCACCATCCCCACTCAGCCACCAGCCCTCTAGGGCTCGGCCGGTGGGCAGGGCGTCTGTTAACACGCACGCCTGTTCAGACACACGTTCTTGACGGGGTCCGGCACTGGCCTCATCACTGATCTAGTTCACCCGCCGTAAGACTGAATGCCTTAGAAATCATCATTTAAAAAGCAAGAGGCCGTCAGCTGCCGGGAGACCCCTGCCCCATGACAACCTGGCTCTTCTGAACCTGAAGAGCCATCCGGGGAGCCGCCGCTCACCTCACACCTGCGCGTCTATCCAAACCAGACACAGACTCACAGCCAAACCCGCGGATGTTCACCTCGTGGGTTTCTGGCCAGCAAGGAGTCTGTGGAGACTATCTGAATCTCCATCCACTCACCAGGCACACTGATTCCAGGTTCCAGGTTAAACGTATGATCCTGACAAGCCTGCCTCCTGCATTCATCCAAGTTTTTGACCAAAGCATCTGAGCTGTACAGGGACAGAGTCCCTGACTAGACAAGCCAGCTGTCAGTCACTTCCTTTCTACGCACGTTCTGAAGGGGCTTCGAATACCCCAAAGGGCATCTCACCCTACCGACGCCCCATCAAAAACCTGTACCGGTTCCCTGCAATCCAGGCTACCAACACTCACCTCCCATCTCCTCCACCTAAACGCGGCTCTTCAGTCTGCCCAACAGGGAACTCACTCGCCACAAACCCTCTGCTCTGCTGAAATTCAAACCTGACCTGTTCTCTTAGTTTACCCTCACCTGACCTTACATCTGGATGGAAAGTGCAGGCAGAGAACCCCTTCTTGTACTGACCCAAGGACAGAATCAGGAATGGGGCAGCACCTAGCTCTGTTTCTCCCTTATGGGGTTGGGGGAGAGGGTGGAAAGCCCCGGTAAGCAGGAGGCCGGTTTACCAGGTCACCTAAACAGACAGAGCACCACCGTGGCAGGAGAGAACGGGGCAGGGCCAAGGGCCTCAAGGGGAGATGTGCAGGAACCACAGGGATCCTGCAAGCCTGCCCAGGAGCTCAGGATGAAAAGAAATGAACACCATCTAGGCAAACACAAAGGTTTCCTTGGCTAGAAAAAGGAGACTAGAGAACAGGAAGGGGGAACTCGGATTTTAAATGCCAGAGTGACAATTCCAAAACACCAAAAAGTTCAACAGCAAAACACGCAGGTACCTGGTTTAACTGTGTGAGGCAGGAGGGGAAAGCTACTGAGAGGAGGTGTGAGGCTAAAGCTGAGTTTAGGGACTGAACCGAACCAAAGAATTCAGGATTGCAAAGAAGGTGAAGACACTGTGTCATGGGAGAACCAAAGCTGTCAAAGTCAGATTTTGTTGTTTTTTTGTGGCAAAGGTGGAACAGAGACAGGAGCCTGGAAAGAACAGACACAACAAAGTGGGAGCAGATGGAGTGGCCTGTCTCCCGAGCGATGCCTCCCTGCGCAGTGCGCTGCTCGGCCCAGCGCTGTGGCCAGCCAGACCCAGGAGGAGCAAGGAAACAATACATCAAGGGCACAACTGTGGCTGAGACCCTCCCCGAGTTCCACAACTGGATGGGCCAAAGAAGAGAGCAGCTGTAGGAATCCTCAGAAATTAAAGGTGACAAGCACACTTTTCCATATGCCGTATCTACCTCGTCACTCCCGGTGACACGTGTGGACAAAATATAACCAAGATACTAATGCACATTTCAAGCTTCAAGGGAACCAACAAATCTAAAGAAATCTACTCACAGATTCGGTTTCGCTAACCAGAAACTGGTGAAACTTTTCCAGTTGTGGAGACTTTCTCAAGATTTTTCGACTTAAATTTGTGTGCCAGGCAAGTTCTTCAGGATACCTGACCAAAAAGAAAATAAAGCATCCACGGATTATATAAAGTGCTCTCTTAACAACTTCCTGCTTTTACCGATCATACACTAACTAGACACCCAATTTTGCTTTACTTCCTCCCATCCACGATCCTCTTCGTAGTCGGCCAAGACTGCAGGATGTCTAACTATATCATAAACCAGGCAGAAACAGGAGAGCCGGGTGGCTTGAAGAGATATATATATGACGTTACCATGAAACTGCAATGATGAATCTTCAAGAACAGATGAGAAAATGGAGACTCCTCTGCTCTTCACCATGTATGCTAACAATGGTACAGAGACTATCAGAAAAAAAGTCAGTTAAGCATCTGACTCTTGATTTCGGCTCAGGTCATGATCTCAGGGTCCTGGGATCAAGCCCCAAGGTGGGCTCTGTGCTCAGAGGGAAGTCTGCTTGAGATTCTCCCTCTCCCTCCACCCCTCCCCACATTCTCTCTCAAATAAATCTTAAAGAAAAAAAGACACAACAAATTAAAGAAATGCAGATCACACAGTTGAAGAACTATCAAAATGTTTGATATTTAATTGTAATCTTTTTAATGATACCTTTCATGTCTAAAACAAAACAGCCCAATAATGTATTGAAATACTTTACACACCAAAAAACCCTGGGGATCACTGCTGCATTGACTTGTGCACTCCTCGGCTGTTACTTGTATAGACCGAAGAATGAAGAAGCATCCCCTGCCATTTCTGTATTTAAACTTTCTAGAATGATGACGTCACCAATTAGGAACAGGTCTCTTTAAACGTGGCTCACACAGATCACTGGGCTCCAAGGCTCCAGCTGGCACACTACTACGACCCAGGCCATTCCCCCAACCCAGTGCCAAGCTATGCACTACTTGGTACTCAGTGATAAGTCTCACTGCAGTTTTAGTACTTATTACTCAGAATTTCCAAGCGTCACATTGTAGCTAAGATGACAGCCATGAAATTGAAACCAGAACACTTGCAAAACAATATATTTGACTGCTTTGAAACAGAATGATTAGGTGAAACAAACTCAAGCCTTGAAATTTTAAGACACTACTCGACTATCATGCTATTATGAGATATATCTGGGAAGTACTTTCTACCAAATAATGAAGATAAAACTGGCTGAATCTGTCCACGGCCACCCTCCCGCTATCCCAGCACTTTGTCTCTATTCCCTATGTCTGGAACCTTCAATATTTAACCTGCTTCAAAAGTCTAAAACCAAAACGCAACCATACTTATCAGGCCATTAAAAAAGAACTGAGTTTTAAATATTCCCTTTGGCCTCCTTAGAGGTGAAATGGTAGGAATACACTCAGATTGGCCTTCACCAGCAGTATTTGGCAAAATCTGCTGTTTCAGTGCAACCTTTGCAAGACTGGGGAGTCAAGACACCTACTTTAACGAAATTTCTTACAACCCTGAAATGTAATGCAATCAATGACTTTTACGAAATTTCTTGCAACCCTGAACTGTATGTGATCAATTACAGTGAATCATGCAAGTTACCACCTTGCCAAATCACCAAAACATCATGAAGCTGAATGTCACATGCATTCAATCAACCATGAATTGTTCAATCTAGCTATTAATCATTAATAGCTGAATTTTCATTTTCAAATAAAAATAAAGCAGATATAATCTGAGCAAATATTTCCTTATGTATATTTCAGACTGAATTTCCATTTAAAAAATGTAATTTTACTAGGATGAAAATTCCATGGCAAGTAATTAAGATTGTGAAAGCATTATTAATCTTTTGAAAAAAATACTTAAGAACTTTAAAATCATTAAATACAAAAACTGACCGTTAAAATGAAAAAGTATGCATCTTATACAGTTTTAGTAACCATTTTTTTTGGACCAACAAATGTTTACTAAAATCTTTGTAGCTTTTAACATCAAATAAGATATCTTAAAGAACTAAATTTAATTTTTAGTGACGTAATTCGAATGTAGCTCCTGAATCTTTAAAGTCCTACTTGGAAACTTGTCATGTCTTCTGAGGATGAATTAAAAGCATCACTGTCATCTTTATACCCAAAAATTCTTACAGGAAAAACATCTCTATTAACATATACATTTATGACAAATCATCTTCAATTTACATGTTAAAAAAAACATAAACAGAATGACAATAAGGTATACTCTCAACAACCAATTGTCAAAAGGAGGCTTTATGAGAATGCTTTGGGATAATGCCTTAGAGTTCTGAGTCCACAAAAAGGAAAAAAAAGAAACCTGCCCAAACTATGAGTCCTACACTTAATATCCCTTCTAGAAAACATGGTTCCCAAAAACACTTTCCTAAATTTAATTCCACTATGTACCAAAAGCTTAAAATATTATACAATTTATTTCTATTTTTTGAACAACATAGAAAACCACCTGAAGTTTTGGTAAGTTTCTGCTTTGCTTGCTCACCAAGAGACTTATAGGTAGCCCACACCTGACCAGCAAATTTGCTTGTACAATAAAACTTGTCATTCAACTGTCACTGATAATGGAAAAGCTGAGTGTTAGGAACCCCAATCGCATAGTATGTTTGTTCACACCCTTCAGTTGGTGTGCTCAGAAGATTTCAGCAAAGAGCAATGTGAGGAAAATCACCAGTAATTACGAGTGATTCCTGTTCCTTCTTCACCCAGAGAACCCACAGATGTTGGAGAATTGCCTATTCATGGACCCCTTGTGGCTGTTCAACAATCAAGATGGAAAAGCACCTGTTAAATGTTATAAGGGCTAACAAAAGTTGAACTGCAGTTTGCAGAGAACAATAAAAATAGCAAGCCTAATTCTCATGTATCTGTTGGAACCTGCAGAAGAAAATGCCCACAATGACCCACCCACAGGCACCTCTTTCCTACAGGATGCATGCTTTTCAGCTCCTCTTACTGGCCTGTCAGACTTCCTCATCTGAAAAGCTGCATTTCTAAACACAAGGTTTAAGGAACAAAGGTGTTCTGGTGATTATATGAAGCAGCCAACATGCAAGGCAATTAGAAATGTGCACAAAGGCAACCTTAAACCCACTTCTTTTGAAAAGTATCAGATTGCCCCTGCTTCAAACAACAGTACCATCAGTCAAACCTCCAAACCAAGGCACTGGTTAAGTGTATAACCTAGCTACTAGGAGAGGGGAGGAAGCTTGAGGATGTGAAGACTAGCTCACTCAGCAATGTCACAGGTACAGCAGCTAAAAAATCATTTTCCTTTTTTAATGACTTCAGTACAGTGGGCATGCAACCAGTAACCACCTGAGACCTTTCCCTGTATCAGAACCTGCAAGCTTTTAAAATCTGACTATCACAAATCTGTGATATGGCCACTGAAAATCCATATGACGTATGGAAGAAAGAAAAGCAAGCAAATCTATAACCCAGGATTAATGAAAAAAACGTGATCTTGGTTTGTGACCACTGAAGGGCATCCAGAAAGGAGAGAAAATACCATACACGTGAATAACCAAAATCTCAAAAGGTGTCAGAAAAGTGCTGGTTAAATTCACCTTGTTATAGCGATCATTTAAAATCACTGTGTTGTGAGAACTCTCAATGCCTCGAAGTTGATAATCTGAAATGTGGAACTATTAACAGTTTACTTTAATGATTTTTATGTTTATAAGCTAACCCAGGACTTGGCGCCTCTATAGCTTGTGCTTGAGTATCCCAGGCATTTTACAAGACACATGGGACTGCCTTCACTGGAATGAAACTTGAACTGGGCCATGAGAAGCAAATAACCCACAGCATGCCTCCAGGACAAGTAGTGAAAGGGTTAGCATGAGGGGCAAAGTCTACTTGAGCCCTGGGGATACTGGAAATACAGAATCAGGGGCACCTGGGTGGCTCGGTTAAGTGTCTTGACTCTTGGTTTTGGCTCAGGTCATGATCTTAGGTTGTGAGATTGAGCCTTGCATAGGGCTCCCTGCTCAATGCAGAGTCTGCTTCAGATTCTTTTCCCCTCTCTCTTCTTCCCCTCTGCTCCCTGTGCGCACTCTCTCTCTCTAAAATAAATAAAATCTTAAAAGAAAAAGAAATATAGAATCAGCTGGAGCAGTCCGTGGCAACCTTTGTCAGGTTGAATCTGTCCTTTTGCTGAAGGTAGGAGAGCCACGTAACAACACCTTCAACGTGAGGAAACAAGGGGTTTAAATGGAAATGGGTAGAAGTGGTACCATCACAGAAGCAAACAGGTTGATCAACTTGCAAAAATTAACTGAACCAAGTAACTCTTAGCCACAAATCCTTCATTAAAAGCTGCACACAGGGGCGCCTGGGTGACTCAGTTGTTAAGCGTCTGCCTTCAGCTCAGGTCACGGTCCCAGGGTCCTGGGGTCGAGTCCCACATCGGGCTCCCTGCTCCGTGGGAAGCCTGCTTCTCCCTCTCCCACTCCCCCTGTTTGTGTTCCCTCTCTCACTGTGTCTCTCTCTGTCAAATAAGTAAATAAAATCTTAAAAAAAAAAAAAAAAAAAGCTGCACACCAGTTTAAAGTAAAGTAATATGGGTAAAAAGCACTGGGTAAAAGCACACAAGGATGTCTGTAAAGTACATTCAAATTCTCTCAGCTAGTAGAAAACATGTTGCCAAAAAACATATTGTCAGCTGACAAAGATTAAAATCCCAAAAAAACCTCCATCAGGTTGAAGACTTGTTTCACCTACCAGCTCAGGGGCTGTGGAACTTCAACTTTCTGACCATCCACCTCCAGGTCTTCCAATTCCTTGAAATACTTGTTCTTTAAGCAATGGAGAATCTCCTTTGCGTGGCTATTAAAAAATAAGTAAGTTTTGATCCGATCTGAAAGGCTAATATACATCTTATCTTTTGTGAACCTGAGATGACAAGTGTCTTAAAACTAAAACCATCTCTGCACTGAAAGCAGACCTCATTCATCATGCCTTTCTACCCCATCCCTTCAAAGTTTAAACAGCTCTCGTTTCATCACTAAAGGATAAGCTAAAAGGACTACTACTGCATTCCTTCCGTCCTAAATATTCCTAGGGTTCCTATCTACTTGCAACTCATCTCGGAAAGATGGAACCACAGAGATTTAAAAAGACAAGAGAACCGGAGTTTCGCACAAACTGTGCAATATCATAAATTCTCACGTGTTCCAAAGGGGAGGCATCCTCAGCTCCCGAAGGCCCAGAAGTCCACCTTTTCTCAGACTGCATTTTCGTGTCTTCCAGCCTCCCGAACTGCAACACCTCCCCGGCCTATTCCGTTTGACCCCTGTGCTCCCTCCTCAATGCTTCCAGACGCTGGAATCCACAGCACCGGTAAACAGCAGCTCTCCAGGCCCGCAACACTCGCCGGGGGCCTGGCGGGACGAGGGGGGCACCCTCATCCTGAACTGACCCCAACTCCAGGAAATCAAGGCTCCCGCAAGGTCCCTTACCTTTTGTAGCCAGTAATTCGCAAAGTGGCCGGGAGGGGCTCCCTGAGCGCTTCCATGAACTGGTCCCACTCGCCCTCTGGCACGATCTTGAGTTCCTGATAGTAATGCTCAAAGAGCTTGTTCTCCTTGACGATCTCGGGGTACCCGCCTTCCCAGCCCTGAGGAACAAGAGACGCGTCTACCCAGGGCCGGAGAAGGCTCCCCGCGCCGTCCCGCAAGCCGCGGGCGGCCGGGAGACGAACGGGGGCCCTGCCCGCCCGCGCCCCGGGTCCTACCGCCTCCTGACGCTTGCCCCCGCCCTCGGCGCTGCCCTCCGCGCGCGTCGGCCGCTGCTGCTGCTGCTGCTGCTGGAGCCGCCGGCCCCGCGCCCTCCGCCCCATGGCCCACGCGGCCGCACACGCGGCCCGCAGAGCTCCCGCCACCGTCGGCCGCGCAGACTTCCGGGCTGGCACGCGAGGCCCCCCGGGCTCCGCGCCTGCGCCGCTCCCGGGCCCGCGGGCGCTGCGAGGAAGACGCCCAAAGGGCCGCGACCCGTGCTCCCGCGGAGCAGCAAGCGACGGGAAGCACTGGCAGCCCTGAGCAAGAAGGAAACCCCAGGAGAGCAGCCCCGAGGTAGCCCGCGCGGGCTCAGGCGGCTCCGCGGACAGCCCGCGATCGCGCGTGCGCAGAGCGGCGGGGGCGGGGCTCCGGCCGCGGGGGTGGGGCCTGCCCGCCTCCCGCCGCGCCGGACCGCGTCTAGTCCAACCAGCGGGACCCGTGCGCCAGCGCCTGGCGCGTTGGAGGAGGGGAGGGGCGCGGCTCAGGGTCCCGGCGTCGGCAGTGGGCGTTCACCTCAGGTAACCGCGCCCCCCGCCCCCTCACCGGCGCCGCCACCGCCCTATAAGTGGCCCGCCGCGGTAGCAGGGTCATGGGGCTCGTCAGCCCTCTCCCGCCATGGAGCCGGTCGAGAGGTTCCAGCTGGACGCGCTCGCCTACCTGCAGTGCGCCCTGGGCCTCCTGGGCTCCGTGGTGCTCAGGCGGATGGACTCGGCCTACGGGCGCTACGCGTCGCCGGGCCCCGCCTTTCGGGTGCCCGCGCGGGCCGCCTGGGCGCTGCAGGAGCTGCCCTCGCTGGCTGTGCCGCTGGGCGTGTGCGCCGGCACGGCGGCGGAGCGCCTCCGCCGCGCGCCCAACCGCATCCTCCTGGCCATGTTCCTCGTCCACTACGCGCAACGGTAACGGCCGGCCGCCTCGCGCCTCCCCGCGCGCCCCTGCCCACCCCGGCGCCCTGCCTGCGCCCGCCGCGGCGCCCTCGCCTCGCACCTCTGGCTCCCTCTCCAGGGTCCTCTCCTCACCGGCCCCCGTCCCCTTCCTTCCTGCCGCCTGCTCCCATGCCTACTCCTTGCAGCCTCTTTTTCCCTGACCTTCCCAGCTGCGCCACTCTGCACACCCTCCCTCGCGCCCTGTCCCTGCTGACCCCTCCCTGGTGTCCTCTCCTGGCGCCTGGCTCCCTCCGTCCGTGCTGTTCTCGCCCAATACCTAGCACCTTCCCCTTCCTCCCCTGGGGCAGACAATTTAGCCTAACAGTCTGGGAAAGTGGGGGGAGGGCGTGGGCGGGAGAGGGTTGGAGAGGCCTGGAAGGATAGTGATAGAAGAGTTAAGCGCATAACCTAGCTACTGGGAGACGGGCGGAGGCTTGAGGATGTGAAGGCCAGCTCACTCAGCAACGTCACAGGTACAGCAGCTAGAAAATCATTTTCCTCTTTTAATGCCTTCGGTTCAGTGGGCATGCAACCAGTAACCACCTGAGACCTTTCCCTGTATCAGAACCTGCAAGCTTTTAAAATCTGACTAAAATGTCTGATAAAAAAACCGTTATGCAATTTTTCTTTGGCTTAAAATTGTGGATTTATCCTTGTATCCCAGAAATGTGTTTTCCAATGGTGACATCTGCTTTTGAGCCCAGCTGAATACTGAGTTTAGCATTTGGCCATTCAGCCTCCACTCAAAATGTGTATGATGTGCACATCTGTGATATGGCCACTAAAAATCCATATGACCGATGGAAGAAAGAAAAGCAAGCAAATCTATAAACCAGGATTAATGAAAAAACGTGATCTTGGTTTCTGACCACTGAAGGGCATCCAGAAAGGAGAGAAAATATCATACACGTGAATAACCAAAATCTCAAAAGGTGTCAGAAAGTGCTGGTTAGATTCCCCTTGTTATAGTGATCATTTAAAATCACTGTGTTGTGAGAACTCTCAATGCCTTGAAGTTGATAATCTGAAATGTGGAACTATTAACAGTTTAATGATCTTTATGTTTATAAATTAACCCAGGGCTTGGCGCCTCTGTGGTTTGTGCTTGAGTATCCCAGGCATTTTAGAAGGTACATGGGACTGCCTTCACTGGAATGAAACTTGAACTGGGCCATGAGAAGCAAATAACCCAGGACAAGTAGTGAAAGGGTTATCATGAGGGGCAAAAGTCTACTTGAGCCCTGGGGATACTGGAAATACAGAATCAGGGACACCTCGGTGGCTCAGTTAAGTGTCTGACTCTTAGTTTCGGCTCAGGTCATGATCTTAGATTGTGAGATTGAGCCTTGCATAGGGCTCCCTGCTCAGTGCAGAGTGTGCTTCGGGTTCTTTGCCGCTCTCTCTTCCTTCCCCTCTGCTCCTTGTGCTCTTTCTCTCTTTCTAAAATAAAATCTTAGAAAATAAAATGCAGAATCAGCTGTGGTATGCAGGCACTTTAAACAGGCACAAACGTTCAACAAAGGTTTTCCAAGTCCTGTATTCCTGACTCTTTAAGATTATTCCAGTGAGCCTGATATGAGGAATTCTTAATCTCAGGATACAAACTGAGGGTTGCTGGAGTGGAGGGGGGTGGGAGGGATGGGGGGCTGGGTGATAGACACTGGGGAGGGTATGTGCTATGGTGAGCGCTGTGAATTGTGCAAGACTGTTGAATCACGGATCTGTACTTCTGAAACAAATAATGCAACATATGTTAAGAAAAAAGAAGAAGATAGCAGGAGGGGAAGAATGAAGGGGAGTAAGTCAGAAGGGGAGACGAACCATGAGAGACGATGGACTCTGAAAAACAAACTGGGGTTCTGGAGGGGAGGGGGGTGGGGGGATGGGTATTAAAGAGGGCACGTTCTGCGTAGAGCACTGGGTGTTATGCACAAACAATGAATCATGGAACACTACATCCCAAACTAATGATGTATGGTGATTAACATAACAATAAAAAATTTAAAAAAAGGTTATTCCAGTGAGCAAAATTACTGTCACGCTGCTAGGGTTTTGTTGTTGTTTTTTGTAATGTGTTCAAGCCTTGCTGCAATCTGAATGTCAGTAGAGTTGTCATGTCCACGTACATGTCTCCATAAATGTGCTAGAACCTGTGTCTCTCTGGTATCTCTAATGGCCAGAAGTGAGCTCGAGTCAGACTGCTAGGTGTCATCCCAGCCACATACTAGGGACCTGGGCTAAGTTACTAAGCTGCTGTGCAGAACGTTTCCCCGTCAGTGGAATGGGCACAGTGATGGCGCCATCCCATGGGTTTAGCATGCATTTAAATGAAAACAACTCCAGGGATTCCTGGGTGGCTCAGTTGGTTAAGCGTCTGCTTTTGGCTCAGGTCATGATCCCAGAGTCCCGGGGTGGAGTCCTGCCTCAGCCTCCTTTCTCAGCGGGGAGCCTGCTTCTCCCTCTGCTGTTCTCCCTGCTTTGTGCGTGCTCCCTCTCTCTCTTTCTCTGACAGATAAATAAATAAAATCTTAAAAAAAAAAATAAAGACAACTCCATAAAATGCTTGCACAGTGCTGGCAAATCCAAATGCTCAATAGGCGATTAATAAGACCATTCCATATTGTCATGCAGATGGCACAGCCACGCATGTACCCTGCGTGTTGTTCACGCACACTGCTGCCGGTCTCAAGTGCCAGTGAGAACCTTCTGAAGGCAGGGCATTGGAACTGTGTAAAGGGAACAATTTGCAGAGTTTTGAAAGCCTGAGCTGAGCCTTCTAACTTAAAACACTGTTTCATTGTATCCCGCCGGGCCAGAGTCACCTGTGGAGTGCCAGAACTTGACCCTTCATTTCAGGGAGGCCACTGAGACACAGAATTCAGGTGTTTTACCCAAGTTTTTTGGACAAGGGGTGGTTGGGACTGAACCCCTGATTCCAAGAGCAGTGGCCTTAGAAACGTACTCCAGGGGATTTGCTAGGTCAGGTGTAGCTTTTCAACCTGCTGGGCTATTCTGTTTCAAGTTGTACATGTGACAGCACATATTGCCTGTGTGGTTTGGGGACATCTACGTTTTCCAAATAGAAAAGATAAACATTTTCCATTCTACCCAAATAGCTAATTTATTAAACAGTCACTGAGCACTTGTAAGGGAACAGAAGCTCAAACAGCATGTAGCACTTGCTGTAAACCATCCAGCCAACCCAGTGAACATTTGTGCAGCCCTACCATTTATCGAGGGTCCTGCAGATGACACAGGACTGAGGGAGATGGGGGACTATGTTAGTACAAGCCTGAGTTGGGCTGGTGGCAGGACAGACTCACACCAGGGGGCATGCTAGGGAGATGCTGACGTGGTGCCTTACAGAACCAGGACATGTCTGCAGGGGCTCTTTGCTGAGCTTTGAGGTTACCTGGGAGTGAGGCAGGGCCCTGCCCTAGGGGAGTTCTAGCTGCCTGAAGTAGTGGTGAGGACCAAAGTCAGGTGGGGGGGCTTCCCATAGTCAATGGGAAGGTGGTGTTTGCTTACAGAAGAGGGACAAGCTGTGTGTCTTTATGTGTTCATTCTGCACACATTTCAGAAGATTAATTTACATACCTGGCCCTGTACTCATTACTGGGGATATAGAGACAAGACATTCACAGTGCGCCTGGGTGGCACAGTCAGTTAAGCATCCAACCTTTGGTTTCAGCTCAGGTCGTGATCCTGAGGGTTGTGGTGTTGAGCCCCGCATCAGGCTCTGCGCTCAGCTCGCAGTCCCCTTGAGTTTCTCTCTCTCCCTCTGCACCTCTCCGCTGCGTTCTCTCTCTCTCTCTGAAGTAAATAAATAAAAATAAAAAAAAGATACTCCCTTAAGGAGTGCAGGAATGCAAGACAGAAAAATCTATAGGATCTTTTTGGAAGAAGAGTCGGAGAAAGAAGGGAAGGCCGTCCTGGACAGGAAGAGGGAATAGCTATAGGAAAGAATATCCCAGAGCCCTGGGCGGCTCCCCCTTGGGTGGCGAAGGACATTTGTAGGAACGTTTGTAAGCCGTGACAAACAACATAGTCTTCCCACAGCCCTTGATGGTTACAGCGTTTGCCTGAATCCTGTATGCACTGAGGTGTCTCATGCTGATCGCAGGGCTTCTGAGTTCTGGAGGGCTCGGGGGGGTGTCTTCTCACACCATCCTTGGTTTTGCTGTGCGTGGAGCAGCGTCTGCCGCCCCGCAGACGAGTGCACGCTAGCCGTGGGCAGTGGCTTCCTGTGGTCCCCAGCATCAGTGCGGAGCAGCTCTGCATGTGTCACAGGCCCTCCTGATAGGCCCCTAAACTGCAGTCGGACCTCCTGTTCTGCTGCTGCTTCTCCTGCCAAGCAGGTTTTTTTCAGTATTCACTTAGCTCAGGCTGCCTTTGCTCATGAATTTTCTCTTGCCACTCGGTGAGTTAGCGAATGAGTCACTGGGCTTATTTGTTCGCTTGTCCATTTAACAATTGTTATGAAGTCCCACTTGAGCACATGGTGCCAATTACCACCGAGGCCCCAGGAACCACCTTTACTGTGAAGCAGAGGGAGAGTGCTGAATGCAGACTTTCACATGCCCACGAGGCTTCCTCTTCCTAACACCCTCCCCAAGGTCGGTGCTCAGCCAGTTCCCTGAGCTTGCAGGATCTCGATTCTGTTGTTACCCCTGATGGTGATCCTCAAAGAATCATACCTGCCTGGATTCATCTTTTCTCCTGGTGGCCCTGTGGGGAGAACCTAGCCCCAGCCTCACTTTTAAATGTGCCATATGGCACGTTTAATATTAAAACACATCAGGGAACTGGAGAAGCTGAAGGATACACTGAACCCTTGGCCCTTGCCTTGATTCAAATAATTTGGAAAAAAAAAAAAAAACAAACACTTTTATTCAAAAGTATAGAATGACAGGTAGTGAAATATTCATTGCATTCGTAACCTTGCCTTAAAAGCCCACAGAGCTTATCTAAGTGTGTGGCTTTATAGGAATCTGCCTTTTGTTGCAAAAGAGCATTTCAGAAGGGAAAAGTAACAGGAACTGATCTGTAGATTTCAAAGATGTCAAATTGTTGAGAAAAAGTAATATAGTTATTAAAATTATAACAACCACTTTCAGTTTTAAACATTTAAAAATGATTAAATCTACTGTTAGATTTGCTGGCAAATCACCAAATTGGATGTTTCATTGTACCTGGGACACAATGTCCAATTGCTTTTATTTTGAGAGTCAAATCATTTGTTGAATGAATACATAGTTTCTCATTGCAAAATAACTGGATGTGATTATTCCAGTTTATTGGGAGAACATGTGGGAAGGGGACATGGCCTTGGAACTGCCACTTTTGAGTCTCTACCACCAGGCTCCTCTGAGCCTCCAGGTCCTGATTTGTTACATAGGTTAATACAGTTGTGAAGTGTAAAAAAAAAAAAAAAAAAAAAACATTTTGTGTAGGATTAGGAATTACTAGACACTTTGCGTCAGGAACTGTGAGAAACACTTCCACTCTCCCCAAGCTTGTAAACTCACCCACGCAGGAGACAGCATGCTGCCTGGCCATCGAAGGTCCACAGAGATTCAGGTTCTGAAAGCTCTCAGTTCAACCCCTCATCAAACGTGTCCCGCTGTCCTGCTTGCCTCACAACCACAGAGATGTGCAAGTTTCCATGGGTAATAACAACTTGATGAAAAAGTAAGTACTGTTTCTTTACATGGAACAGAAGGGGGAAAATGGGATATTGTAACATGATAGAAAACAAAGTGTCAGATTCAATCCCACACTCCATCTGATGAGGTAGAAAACAGAATCTCTTTGTAGCTCTTTGTAGCTCCCTGGGACCCGACAGTTTTATGTCCTTTAGCTCATTATTGGAACAGAGCATAGATTTATATAACATTACCTAAATAGATTTATATAACACATTACCTAAATAAGGTACTTTTAAGTGCAAGCTCTTCACGGTTTATCTTATAGATGATTTCCACGTTAAGGGATTTTCAACTTCCGACTTCATACGTTTTCTCAAAGAGGGGTAATACCCGTTTCCCACAGTTCCTATGTGGAAGGGTGCTTGTTAGTGCAGTTGAGACACTACTTGAGAAAGGCTTTTGAACTGAAATGGCCTGGGCCCCAGATCACCGGGTCAGGGCAAGTGCTGTGTGGGTCCAGCGGCCATGTCTGCCTTCCTCACAGAGCCTGGCATCACGTCTTGAAGTAGATCCTTCACCATGATAAGCAGCCTGGGGTCCACTGCAATCCTTGGGTTGCCCTTGTCCCTCTAGCGTCGAGATGAAGGCTCAGATAAAAGTCATGCCCAGAAGCCCCCCTGCCCCATTTTGGTTCCTAATTGGCCCAATTCAAAGGAAACCCTTTCCAACAACTGTTGCATGGACTTCCAAGGAAAAGAAGTAAAGCCAAAGGGCATAACCTAAAAGGAGAAAGACAATCCCAAAAATAGCAAGAGGGAGCAGAGTGCTCTCCTCTGGAAGGTGCGTTGCATCCGGCCATCTAACTTGCTGAAGACCCCAGAGCCAAGAGTGCTTGGTTCATGTTGGTGCACTCAGCCTGTGGGGAAGGGGAGGCTGGGTGAGGAGATGTTAGCTCCCCCCTCAGGGTCTGAAGGCATAAGTGACATTGCCTGAGCCAGCTTGTTCTCCCGACCTCTGATTTTATGGCCAGGCCTATGGACGTCAGGGGCGTTGCTGTCCCTTCAAGGGTAGAGATAAGAGAGGAACAGAAGAGATCTGCATCAACCTTTCTGAAGCCCTGTTTCCAGTCCTTGCCGTGCTTCTGACGTTCATATGAGACCAGAGAGAAGTGAATCTTGTCCCAGGTCCTCTGGGCATGTCTTTTCCAGGCTCGCCCAGGGCACACCCTGGAGCAGATCACTGTGACTATCTGTCCTATTGCATAACTGAGGACCCAGATGCACAGACCCCATCTCGTAGACCAGGTGGACCCCAAACCAAAGAGGCTGCCTGCAATCTAGGTACTGGGGCCTTGAGCAAGAGCGTTCACTAAGAAGGTCACAATGAGGTTTCCAGAGTGTAACCCCTGTTTTAATCTAGGTCAAGGGTCAAAACTTTTTGGAAAGGACCATAGTGCTTTTTTTAAGCTTCGTGGACCAAGGGACAAAATTAGGGTTGTTGTGAAAGAGATATTTCACAAAGATTTCTATTGAGAAAATTCTAAATCTAATACCTTAATTTCTCTAACAGGTATAACAAGAAGGGTAGAATTCTTTATTTGATGGGGACAACATTCACTTAATTGGGCTTCAGAGTTAGCATTCCCCATGATCAACATCCATGGCAAGTGTTCACCCCTTAATGCTGATTGATGGGCAATGAGATTTTCTCTTTTTTTAAAAGTTTTTATAAGATTTCATTTATTTGAGAGAGAGAACACAAGTGGGGGGAGAGAGGGGCAGAGGGAGGAGGAGAAGCAGACTCTTCCGCTGAGCAGGGAGCCTGATGTGGGGCTAATTCCACATGACCTGAGCTGAAGACAGAGGCTCAACTGCCTGAGCCACCCAGGAACCTCGAGATTTTCTCTTTGAAAATGTCTTTTCACATGCATTGGTACTGCCAAATTTTGATTTCAGTCCACAAGTTTCTGATTGTAATTTAACATGTCAATTGCTTGGAATACATTTATGGAATTCTATTCCATTCTTCTGTTGATATTTGCCCTTTAGTATGTCACTACAATGTAGATGAATGTCTTCTGGTTGGCAGGTGGCAGTTCCTCAATTACAGTTAAATAGGTTTTGAAATGTTCAAAAACCACGGGTGGAACTCCATCTGGAGCTTAGAAATCATATCCATTGCAAATTTATGCGAGCATCCATCTCTTGCACGTACAGACGTACAGACGTTTGCAGCGGGCCTGCATCCCAGACGCCAGCGCACTGTCCCAACTCTGCTAAAGAGTGAACCATGCTTCCACAATGCAGAGGGAAATGGCTGAGATCCCCTGTTCTTTTTGAGGTCCTTCTCGACACTGGTTTCCAGGCAAACAACTAACCTCACTGATGACATCATGGCCAGATGCATGTTTCCATCCAACTAGTGCTTTGCCCTAACCCCATATGAAGTCTGCTTCGGGGGAGCTGGCCTGAGCAAGATGAGAACCTTGAAGGCTGCCTTTGATGGCAAGAATGTCCTTCGCAGGACCTGAGTGAGCATGTTACAAGAGAATGCCTTGAGGACACATAGCCAGTGTCATGCTATCAGGCTGTTACTACTGCTGCTAAGAATCCGTTCTGTTTTCGCCCTGGAGTGGTTGGTCGGAATAGAAACAAATAATGAGCCTTTATGTTTTTCCCATTTTAAGATACAACTTACATAGGATGAAATTCACTCATTTTAAGTCTGTGGCTTGGTCAGGTTTGATGATTGCATACGGCACGTAATCGTCAGCACAATAAGATGCAGAGCGGTTTCATCCCCTGATATGTCCCTGGGCCTCTGTGCAGCTAACTAGTCCCCTCCCCCAACTCTAGTTGCACCTTTTCTAGAACTTCACAAGTCACTTCAATGTCTTTCATTCACAGAGGACTATTTGAGTTGTCGATTTCTTCTGGGGTCAGTTTTGGTCACCCGTGTCATTGAAGGAGTCTGTTTGTGTTGTCCAGATGGTCACATTTATTGGCATGAAGTTGTAGATGGTTGTTCCTTACTATCCCCTTAAGGTCGCTAGGCTATGTAGTGATAGCCCTCTCTCAGCATATTACATACTGATTTTACAGAGGAAGTTCAGAGTACAATATTGTGTCCTCTTTTCTTCATAAGGTCTACTTTCTTGTCCATCTATTTTACCTCCCTAAACTTTCACTAGTGTGGTGGAACAGAAAAATGTGACCCTTGAGCTACCTGGGTTTGTACCAAAGCTTAGCCACTCACTAGCTCTGTGACCGTGAGTTGATGGGCATACCCACTCTGAGTCCATCTCGTGCTCTGTCCTGCATGTGTCATGGTGTTTCCTGTGTGGGTGTCTCCAGGTACCACGAGTGGGGTGGAGAATGCTCAGCCAATGCAGCCGCCATGCTGATGGATAGCGTGATGGTGTCCCCCACGTCGTGTTGCTCAGACGAGAGTAAGGGAGGATAATGCAAATGTTGAGAGCCTCTTGAAGCCTTTAGTTTTCTCTCCATATGTCTGTCTCATGTTCAATATAATTAGAATCCTGAGTTTGTGCACTATGGTGAACCTTATTGAAACATGGTTAATTCTTTAGAAATTCTGCTTTGAACAGAGTACACCAGTCTGAGCATTACTGAGAATGACTTCTGGACAGGGAAGCAAGATTAAAAACCCAAGACTTGAAATAGAATTGGAGAAATGAGATTCCTTATCATTGGTCTGTGTTTTATTTAAATGTGTTTCTGTTTCATGTTTCCTAAGGTCCTTGATTTTCCCATTTCTGATCCGAGGAGGAAAGCCCATGCCCTTGTATACATTTGTATTGGCATTCATGTTCTGTATCTATAATGGCTACTTGCAAAGCAGATACTTGAGCCAGTATGCTGTGTATGCCGACGACTGGGTCACGGATCCCCGATTTCTAGTAGGTAAGAGTCCCCCCAGGGATGCACTCTGTTGTTCTCATCAGAACTTGGGTTTTCATGCTCCCGCAGTTCCTGGTTAGAAAACCCACGCTCCTCGAGAGAGAGAGAGGGGTCTGTGATGGTCCATGACCTAGTGGTGGGGAGGCTGAATGCGGAGGGAGAGGCGGGCGGCCCCAGCAGCAGCAGATGATGCAGGTGCCCAGCACCACGGCCAACTTGGCACAGAAAGCATAAATACCTGTTCCTAAAGCAGACCTAAAAATAGCAACAGGTTCCAGCAGAGTGAGCAGCAGATGAAGATTAAGGAGCTCCGTCACTAACTGGCCGTGTAATCTAAGACCATCATTAAGCCTCCCACAGTTCCTTCTGGAATATGAGAAAAAGTCCGATGGGTCACCTTCCAACAAAGCAGTCAGTTTCCTGATTATGCTAACTTGAATAAGCTTTTAGGTGTGTGAAGTTTCTGATTTTTTTTTAAATCTTTATCATTTTTGAGTTCTACTTGAAGCCTTGTAAGTTCTGAGTAAAAATGAAAATATAACATCAGCAGTCAAAAATACATGCAAGAGTGTTAAAAAATACATCACCTTGAGGCTCTTGTTGATGAGGAAGTTTTCTTCTAAGTTTCGGAGAGTCCCACAGCTCTTGGCGTTAGTGCCCTGACATGGCCTCCCGTTTCACCGGGCATCGCTCTGTGTGCGAGTGCGTGACCATGGGAGCCTAGCGCTGGAGGAGTACTCTGTTGTTGACGAGGCACGTTCACGTTTCTTGGTCATCTGTGTCCGTGTATTAAAATTCTATTCCCAGGGCCATGTCCTCACGTGTCATACCAGGGTGCCGTGACAGCAGGGTATGTGCACCCCCGGCCACCAGGTGGGGGAAGGGTGAGAGGGTCCCCAAGGGCCTCGGCAGCTCCGCCAAGCCCTCCACCAGATGCCAGACCCAAGTGATTTTATTGGTGCAGGGCCCCAAATACCTTCTTGACTTACCCGCTTTTTGACTACCTGATTTTCTTCCACCCCAGCCAGCAGGAGGAGAAAGCAGGCTGCGGGGGCCCTGCAGAGAAGGCCTCATTCTCTGCCAGGAGCCCCGCATGAGCCTTCTGCCACCCCAAGTTCCTGAGAGGACAGAAATTAGGGACCTTTCGCAGGAGCAAGGGAGACCGATGGCTGAACACCTGGCCCAAGGTCTGCACTGAGGAAGTAGCAGAACCGCAGTGCTGGTGCCCCAAGAGCAGGCTGCCGGGGGCAAGGGGAAGGGGATTGTTAACTCAAGGATGTAGGCTTTGCATGTTCGTTTGAGTTCCCCCCACAAATCATTCCTATGATGAATTGTTTGGATATGTTTGACGAACAACAACAAAGAGTCCTTTGTGAATTTAATGTGAAAGTGAATTTAAATGTGATTAGAAGTAGGTCTGCTGATAGACCACTTCACCTGCACATGTCTTTGAAGCTGGTCGAACATTAAAGACACCACTAAATTGTATATCAACCTCTCAACTTCTCTACAAGTGAGCAGGAAGAATCAAAAATGAAAAAAAAAAAATGCCAACAGGGAAACAAACTAGGTTACTTTTCTGTTATGCTTATTACATAGAGTTTATAGTTTTGTACGGAAATAAATATGAAATAACATGAATAATTAATTGCATTTATGCTACTTACCATGAAGAGCTAAGCAAGTAGTAATAATAATATCCTAACAAAAAGTTTTCCAGAGCGGTAAAAGTGGTTAATCTAAAAGATTTTAAGATCCCCCAAAACAGGATTAAATAATTAGCTGGGATGAACACAAGTACTAGTTTTCTTACCAATCGGGACAATAAAGGGAGCTTGTCTCCTAGAAGAGAAATAAGGAAAAAATGGCATTTTGAGAACATGATTCTTTCTGGAACCTCACATTGGGGCCACATCACCTAGAGGCGACATACTGCAATGCACAAAAAGGTCTCAAATCAACTATACATTTATGGATCTAATAAGTGACATAAAATATTACAAGCTTTGGCAGGAACTATTTAGAAAGAAAACTGCCTACAGTGGTGAAATCAGAAGGAGGAAACCTTGAAGCCCTTGCTGCGGGCCAGAATGCATGATCCCCTGTCCCTGTAGTAGCTGGAAGAGGAGTCCGTGCCGCTGGGGGGCTGAGGAGAGAGGAACGATAGAGTTACTCCACTTGGACGTTTCCTTGATCCTGAATCGAGTGCCACCAATCGGCACTGTCAGACTTTCCCAGTTTTCTAATACTACAGGATGATCAAATTAACTCTTTTTATCAAATCAAGGTATTCCTTTTATAAAACACTGGGTATTTTCCGTCTTCTTTTTGGAATTAATTTGCGTGATACTAATAAGTCTCCCTTTAGGTGACGAAAAACCTCCGAAGACCTTCAGGAACGGGAGAGAGAACATCTGAGATGCCACAGGATGTGTGGGGGACGTGTAGCCGGCGGCTGGGGTTCTGTCCAGAGCTGAGGCAAAGGAGCAGACCCAGGAGCGCAACTGGCCATGAGCAGGAAGGGACTCTCAGGCGAAGCTGTGGATGGGTGTGAGCCTGTGTGAATGAGGCTCTAAGGAAAGAAGAGAGGAGCACCAGGGCCGAGCTACCAGGAGCCACAGCTGCAGGGGCCCCTGCGCGGCTAGCCAGGCTTTTGTGTGCCCTGGGGAGGGCCCAGCCACCCGCACCCAGTTTTCCTGAGGGGCCGACCCACAGATGGTGGTGCTGCCCACTTTCGCAGACCTGAGTGCAGCACTTATCTTTCTAAGTGAAGCATGGTATTTATTATAATGATTTTCACTATCAACTGTGGCTAACATGGCTTGCTCCTAATGATAATAGGACGGATTACAGTCATACAGTTCATTCAGGCTTGGGTTTGGGAATTTCCTGGTTTATTGACCATAATACTCTTCTGTATTGGCTTTTCTGCAGGTTTCTGCTTGTGGTTAATAGGCATGCTGATAAACATCCATTCAGACCATATCCTGAGGAATCTCCGGAAACCAGGGGAGACTGGATATAAGATACCAAGGGGTACGTACTGAAAACGGGAGACTTGATCCCAGATTGCTCTGCAGGATGCCTTGCTGTTTCAGTTTTGTCGGATCCAATAACTAACCATTACCGATCGCAATCACTATGATCATTGTTTTCTTAGAATGATAGAAGAGCCCATTTTGGTTCACTGAGTGGTTATTAAGCAAAAAGGAAACCAGTTGTATCTCTTTGGAAAGAGAATATGAGGAAGAACTTATGGTTTACCAGGGGTGCGCAATACCTCATTTCTGGTAATAGCAGGAGTAGACAACTGAAAATAGTTTAAAATGTTGGATAAATGTTTTTTGTTTTTGTTTTTAAATCTTTTAAAGTGCATCCATGTGGTGTCAAGAAAGGAAGTCATAATCATCAGAGGGCAAAAGCTGGGTAAATGCTTGAGTCTAGGACCCAACTCGTGGGAGTCCATAACCACTAGCTGTTCTCATGCAGCTTTGTAGCCCAAATGTGCGCCAACCGTGGACAGTCCGAAAACCTCAAGCCATGAGTTAGGATCCATGTGGTCCTAGGGAGGGGGTGCCTTCACACATCCAGCCTGCACAAAGCCAGATCCCCAAAGAGACCTGTCTTTAACTCAGGCCTCAGAGAGCCCGGCAGACCACAAATGATGGGAAAAACCCTACACATCTCAGGTCGTTTAAACTATGGCCCTAAGGTGGTCCTTGGAGCATGCCACTCTGCTCTCCAGCTTCCGAGCCTTTGCTGCCCAGAGTGCCCAGCGCGCCCAGAGTGTCCCAGCCCCAACCACTGCGGCCCCAAACCTCACCTGCCAGCAAGGCCCCTTCCCAGCCACTGGCCACGACCAGACCTCCCTGCACCCCCAGCCTGACTTCTGGGACTCTCTCTCCTGCTCTGCAGCACTCCCCACCATGTGCTGGGCTCCGTGCTTTCCTCATGGGCTACACTGGGGATTAGTGTTCTGGAAGTGGGGGTGGTCTTGTCCACAGTGCACTCCCAGTGCCTAGAGCAGGGCCTGGCCTGTCCTGTGCACTTCAGGGATCTGTGAAAATGGATGACTGAATGAATGACTCTGCCCTTGAAAATTATTATTTTTTCTATTTTGGGTCCAGGCCTCTGCATAGGTCTGTCTGATCAAACTAGTTCCTTAATTGTTGTTCTGTGGTCTCGGTCCTTACTTAGTTTTCATCCATGTGATTCATTGACTAGTTAAGTGACATTTTAAAGTACGTGAAACCTGTCGCATTTTATATTCAGATGAACAGTGTAGGTATTGATCTAGATATGTGGTTACTACCAGCAATCGTGACGTGAGATGGTAGAACTAGTAATGTTGGGTGTGTTTCACTGATTACCATTCTGGAGCAGTCGTGTCCCCTGGGCTGAATTCATGCTAAGTGTCCACAGCTGTCTGTTCGGTCAGGGTCTTACTGGGCACCGTTTTGTAGGAAGTGCCCGCCTTGCCTGTGTTTCCTTACAGGAGGCTTGTTTGAATACGTGACGGCAGCCAACTACTTCGGGGAGGTGGTTGAGTGGTGCGGCTACAGCCTGGCCGGCTGGTCCCTCCAAGGCGGGGCCTTCGCCCTCTTCACCTTCTGCATCTTATTCACCCGGGCCCAGCAGCATCACCAGTAAGTTCGCAAACACTTTCAGCATGTTGAATTTGTGCTCTGGCCGTATTATAACAATTGACAGGTTTGATGCTCGAAATGTTCACATTCGTTTGAATTGCCGAATCCCAGGGTGTACCTGGCGTTAGCTAACCAAGTCCAAAACCATGCAGACGTCCAGAAAACTGCTCTAGGGAATCAGGTACACGTCAGCATCATCACTGGCTGCACCCGACTCTGAGCCCCTTTGAATGTTTGCTGCTGGAGCTGATGGTCAAGTGAAAGGTCAGGCAGGGGACTTGGGGACTGGCCAGGAGCATGCAGTCTGCAGTGTGGAAGGCTGAGCACCCGCAACCAGGCCCAGAGGAAGCCCCCTCGGCCCTCACGCAGCTCCTGCACGTGAGTGCCCTGCATCCCTGCAGACCCGTGGTCGCTGTCGGGCTCCCGGGCTCTGCGCACCCTCGAAATCACATTGTTTTCCAAGGTCCGGGGCCACAGCCTTTATCACATCCCCCAAACGGCCTGTGATCTCTGGGACCCATATAAACTCATAAAAACCGATCCAAGGCTTCAAAGCTGAAGTGAACCTAGGGAGTGCCCTCGCAGTCTGACCCATGAAGGGACTGAGGCTCAGGGGACAAAGTCCAGGCTTCTCAGAAGGGAGAGGTCTCGGCTGTCCCCCGAGACCACAGCGATGATGGAAATAGGGCACAGGCAGCTCACGCCGGCTTGTGCCCCCGAGCTAGAAAGGGCACTGCCCTGCTTCCCTGGCTTCATTCCCCTCGAACACATTTCATGAAGATCTCTGGTTCTGCTGATGCTCTAGGAGGCATGTGCAGACACAGAGTTTCCTCTGACTCCAGGCCGTCTGCCATCTCTCGGGAATGGGGCAGAGAGAAGCCCCCAGAAGAACAGACTGATAGCATGGCGTAGTGGAACGCAGACAGACTTTTCAGAGTCAGAATTCCTAGGGTTCTTTCCAGGCTCACCATGTATTTAAAGATGCAGAGGTTTATTACCAGAGCTACTGAAGAGAACGGGCAGAGTGGAAGGTTTCTTCAGCTAATATTTGTAGACATTAGGCCAAAAGCCTGAGATTATTGAGACCAGAGGAGAAGCACCCTCCAGCCCTCCGTGTTTTGAGGTGCCCCACTACGCTCCAGACAGTGGGGGATCTGAGAGCCAGGACCTGTCTCTATGCCAGAGCTGCGGAGGAGGACAGAGGTAGGAAGAGCTCACACCAGGGAAGCCTCGGGAAAGTGGTTACCGCGTCAAAGGTGACAGAAAACGAAACGATTTGCTACGATGGGCTGAATTGTGTCCTCCCCCCACGCCCCCCATAATACGTTGCAGTCCTAACCGACCCCGCGAATGTGACCTTATTTGGCAGTAGGGGTCATCACAGATGTAGTTAGTTAGGGTGAGGTCACGCTGGGGTAAGCGGGCCCCTGACCCAGCAGTCCTGGTGCCTTTATTAGGAGGGAAATTGCAGACGCGCACACGGGGACGAGAGGGCCACACAAAGACACACACGAGGGCGGCCGTGTGAAGCATGGACGCAGAGCACGTGGGGACACTGCCGCACACTCCTGTGGCTGCCGGAAGCTGAGAGAGGCAGAGAAGGCTCCTCCCTGAGAGCCTGGGAAGCAGCACGGTCAGACCTCTGGCTCCAGAACTGGGAGAGAATAAATTCCTGCTGTTTGAAGCCCCCTAGCATGTGGTCCTTTGTTGCAGAGGCCCCAGGAAACCAAGACACCCGCCTTTGAGCCATCCAAACTCCGCTGGGCCGTAAGGAAAGAGAAAGACAAGGTGTGTGAGTTCTGGAGCCCTCCGATTCCTCCTACCAGATGACACCACACCGGCGTGTCCCCAGAGCTCATGCTGTTGCAGAATGCCTCTTCCCGGGTGTGAACAAAGCATTTCGGAGAAGAATAACAGTGATAGCAATACCTGAATCTTGGCCCAGCCTGACCGTCCTGTGTTCCTGACCCCTCCTTCCCTCCTTCCCTCTGCCCCCCTCCCCCATTCCTCCCCCCTCCTTTCCTCCCCCTCCCCCCCAGTCTTCTTCCTCCCCTCCATCCTCCCCTCTCTCCCCCTCCCCAGGCGCCCCCACCCCCCGAGACCACCTTCTCATCCCTGGCATCGCCTCTGGAGGAACATGCTATTCTTGTACATTAGTTACACTAGAGAGTAGAAAGCGAATATTGGCTGGTTTCTAATAATAGAAAAAATGAGATGATACTGAATATTTTAAGAAATTGGATCAGAGGAAGATTGAACAAGAGCATGCCAAGTCAGTGGTAATGACGTTTTCTCAAATGAAAATGGGAAAATCTCCCTCAACATTTGAGTAGGAAATATTCAAATTTCTAATAGGAAATATTCAAATTCTATAATTTGAATAGGAAATAGAAATAAATAACTTCATTTTCCAAATGAAAGTCTCTGTTAATAAAAACCCAAAGGTATTCTTTGCAGAAAGTTCACGAGTTGAAAGGATTCTTTTTCATTCATTTGCTATTTATACTGATGTCAGTGCAAAACCAATTTTAATTGCTGAAAAATTAGTGAATTCAGTTTAGTGGAAGTATGCTCAGAAATGTTGGATTTACAAGCTGAGGACAAAATAAAAGCTATCCTTTTTTTTTTTTTAAATAATCCAGCGAACCCAGCTAATTAAACTGAAAGAAAACAATCCATGGGACTATTCCTAGCCCTGTATTTTATTTATTATGATGTTCTCAAAGCAATATTTTATTACACTGAGTTTATTTCTATAATTGGATGTGAAATATTTAAATTCATAGAGAATTATACTGATAATTAAGCTCTAGGTCGGAAACATTGGGTCATCTGTGCCCAGTTGCTAACAGATACTGTGGTTTTAGGGCAAAATGGGAATTGGGAAAGAGGAATGGGAAGGAGGAATGTTTTCGGACTGTTCTCTTCCCTGCCAACGCGGGGCTTCCCCGGGGGGCACAGGTTGGCGCGGGGCTTCCCCGGGGTTGCAGGACAGCGTGTGGAAGCGCCCACAGCCATCTGATGGGCTGCAGTTCCCATCTGTCCGCCAACCATGGTGTGAAACGTGCCAGAAACCAGCAGATTTTGCCGACTCCCTGTCATGTTGCTGCTGTCACGCATTTCTGCCATATGAGCTCATAGTCACTTCCCATCATGATGTTTCGTCTGTTTATCTGTTGTGCTGACAGAAACTCCTTGTTTTCTGGCTATTTCTCCATCTTGCCAGGTTATTTTAAGTGTTCACTCCATCCCCTTAGCTGCCGCCCTCCCCAACTAGCCACTACCCCAAAATGAGGCCGGCGGGGGGGGGTGCCTTGTTGATGTCATGTATAGCAACACCGAAAATGTGTGTTTGTTCCGTGTGCCGGCCCCCCTGCGCCTTCCCAGATTTGTCTGAGAGCCCCCTGGCACGCAGCTGGGTGCCCGCTCCACAGACCCCGGGGCTGGAGCTGGAGCTCTCTCCTGGGGTCTGAGGAAAACCATCGGGAGTCACCAGACAAAAACAACGTTGGAGACACTCCACCTGAGTGAATTACAGGGCTACTTCTTATGAATCATGCTTTAGAATCAAATATATTTAATTATTCCTCATAGAGACAAAATCAAACTACATCTCTGAAATGCCACACTTTTTAGTATTACTCCTAAAAATCTCCGTATTCCTTCACAATGAAAAGTGTTGTCCCTTTTGCCAGCATCCATTAAATGTTTAAGTGACAAAATTATATCCTTTTCTTACTGTTCCTTTTTTGTCTTATTTTAGGTGGTACCTTGAAAAATTTGAAGATTATCCAAAGTTCAGAAAAATTATAATCCCATTTTTGTTTTAAGTCCATTGTCAATGGAATCATCTTGGACTTGAAGCATTTCATGATTATATAAATGAATTATGTCTCTGCCATTTTCCTGCTACTTCATCTTTTTCAAGATTTGCTGTAGGAATTTTTTCCTATGAATTTGTAAGCTACCTAATAGCAAACTAATCAGACTGAAATGCAGGTTGACGGATTGGGCTGCATACTGGGTCAAGAATCGGGAACTCTGGGTCATTCCAGCTGACCGTTTCTCTGCTTTTGGAGTCTCCTGTTTTGACTACGTACAGCTAAGTGTGCACAAGACCAGAATGACAAGCCATCTCTGGTGGCCTCTGTGGGCTGAAACACATCCCTGCCCCTCACAACCCATTCCAGCCATCAGTCCAAGGCCAAAGGCCATGTTCCTCCCTCCCCTGATAAAGGCAGAACCGCCTCTCTGGTTCCTTTCATCCTGCTGGGTCAGAGGCCAGGGGCACCCACAGCGTGGCCACAGCCCCAGGGGAATGCCTGGGCTCTCACTGTGGGTGTTGTGGGGCAGAGACCTTGAGGCACAGAAAGGAGTCCAGCTGAGGCCCGGACAAAAGGCATCTGGCACTTTCTACAGCCTGGCTCCCCAGGTGACTCCACAGCAGGGCAGGGTGCTGGGTGTGCTCCTAAGGGGTAAACCGCTCTGTCTCCCACTGAAAGGACTTAGAGCCCCCAAGGCAGCGGGGAACCTCCTTGTGCTGATTGCCAGAGGCATTGGTAGGCTCTGGTTCAAGATGATTTTTTCTTCCTTCTGGGTAGAACTAGGATGTTGGAAGGTACTTTTTTTTTAAAGTACCTTCAATATTGCAAAACAATATCTTGAAACAGAATTTCTTACTCTAGATGCTCTTGAGAGGTCCACGGAGATAAATGGCAGTAGTAAAATTTACTGCCTATTGCCAGATATTTAAAAGCAATCTCCAACTAGAAGGCTGTTCAATCTCTGGGCCACTCCGTGAAGCTCTGATGGACACACGGTGGAGGTCCCCTCCTGGTCTGGGACAGCGCTGCCTGGGTGGCCGCCACCTCCACAGAGTGGGAAACCACAGGAGCAGGGGAAGGAAGGAGCAGACTCTGTTCACTCTGGCCCACTGACACTGTTCTGTAGGTGGTGGGGGGCGTCCAGAGCACCCAGCGGGCCTCCTGCACCCTCTCTTGGCTGGCCTTCCCAACCAGGGTCAGTGTCCCTTACAAGGTTTTACATAGAAGCCGTGTTCTCAGGGTTAGTGGATTTTTAGTCTCTTGGGGTTTCAGAATTCACCAAAAACTTGTCCAGTGCAGCTATGCTTCATTTTAACTGGAAACAGCACATTTTTTTAACAGAAATCTTGTTACTGAATGAACATTGTTCCTTTTCCTGGCCATTTTCCAATCACTTGAAAACGTGAAGCATTAAGTATTCTGGATCGCCTCAGGAACACTCAAAATGCCAAGCGCGTCAGGAGGGATTGAGGCCGCCGTGTTCTGCAAGGTGCACTGGGCGGGAGCAGGATGCTGGTCTGAGAGCTGGGAAGCTTCCGTGAATGTTCCTTCTTCACGTGAGCGGCCCGGGCCACCGGACCTTTGCGTTCACTCAGGCTTTGATGCGCCCTTACTGGTTTCGCTGGCCTGCACCGGGTGCACGATTAATAGGAAGAATCCCTGTTCTATCTGGGCTCCCTGCCCTCCCATTTCCTAAAAACTGTAACTTAGTAAACAGTCATCAGTTACTGTGTTAATTACAATAAGGAGATTAATAAAATTACATAAAATCCAGGCGTTTGTCTTCAGTGTGACTCCATTCTATCCACACGTCTTCACTCTACAAGTTCAGACAGCATCTGGAGCCCTGAAACCTGCTTCCCACCAAGGTTAACAATTTCACAGTGTCACATACTCTCGAGTCTCAGCGGAGCCATGCAACAGACACTCTCCGTGTGAATCTCATTCCTGGGTGTTTAATGCTTTGTTCATTGTGGCTGAGAATGCATCCCCAGTACATTTATAACTGGGATAAATCAAAGCTATTGATGTTTGCCATACTGCTGGGAGGGTTTTATGAATTCCTACAATTTTCTCTGGTTATTCTGCAGTTCCCTCACTTCGCAGTCATGTCACTTGCAAACATGCCACGTTCTTGTGTGGCCGTATTTGAAGCTGTCACTTTTGTTGTTGTTTGCTTCTTAGAGTAGCAAGAAATGTGAAGACAATCCTGAATAAAAGAGGTGATTGTCAGGATTCGCGTGTGATTTTAACAGGAATGCCTTTCTTTGAGATTACTGTTTGGAACATTCTTTTATTTTCTTGCACACTTATTGGTCTGTTTTCTACTTTAGCCAATGGGATCATTTCTTTGCTTTAAAAAAAAAAATTTGTGGTATTTCCCTTGAGATTTTCACAGATTCTCTGTACAGATCAGAAGTGAGGAGGGTTAGCCCGCGGGTGCGAGGGGGCAGCACCTGAGAACGCGCCCACGTGGACGCTCTGATCTGGTGGGTCGTTTTCTTCATCAGATATTCTCAGTTTATCTTGTCTTACTCTAAACTAATTTTTGTTATGGTGATTTCCCCTGTATCTCCTAACTTCATATCTGCTTTTATCTTATCTTCAGTGTTCTAGGTGAGGGAAGATCTTCTCCTTGTGCTCACAGCTGCCTTGGAGGAGTGCCGCATTCAGCTGCTTTCTCCGCAGGTGTGATTTCAGCTTTTAAGCCTGTGTGTCTCTCTGAGAAGTGACACTGATGACATTTTCCTAGAATTATGATCCTAAATGGTCTCCAGCTGTACTTCTTAGGTTTGCTTTGATCTCAATATTTCTAGGAAATTAATTTTTATTGGACATGATGCTTTTTTCTTTTCAACGATTTGGGAGATTTCATGGAAAGGCTTTTGTTCTTTTTCACACGTGTGGATATAGTAGAGATTGTTTGCTGTGAAACAGTCTCTCCTTTGCGGATTTTGACTTTTTCTTTCGCAGCCTCGAGCCTTTTATAACAATAACAAGGCCATTCTTTATAGTTGATGCTATTTGCTCTGTAGCTTGTTAATTCAGGGATATTGATCATATTGTTAAAATTCTCTGCAACCTTATTTTTCTTCCGTGTCAAATTTTCCTTGTACTTCTAAGAGGTTTTGCTTTGTGTTTTGTTTCTTTTTTAATATAAATTCAATTAGCCAACATACAGTACATCATTAGTTTCAGATGCAGTGTTCAATAATTCATCAGTTGCATATAACACCCAGTGCTTTGTGTTTTGATGCTGGCATTCTGCTAAACTTTCTATCTATCCCTGCTAACAGTTTAGGGTGATCTTCCTGCTGGAGCTGCTCCCCTGGGATCTGGCTTTCATGAAAGAATTATCATTCTGCCTCTTTTATTGACAAATTCATCCAGCATTTCCTGGCCTTTCCAAGCCTTCAAATGTCATTTGTTTGGTTATCTTTAACAACATGATAAACAGAATTTGCCATTGAATATGTTGGCTCAAATTCTCCCACTAACTGCTATACTAAGATGCTTTTTATCATGTTTTCTGTTTTTATTGTTTGCAACTTCCTTTTTTTTACATTTTCTATAGTGATTTAGAAAGGTATTTTCTTAAAAAAAAGGCAACATTAGGAATGGTTTTTATGTTTTTTAGAAGTACACTTAAAAGTTCCCAATTCAATATGATGAACTGAACACATGCTTTTATTCCCCCTCCTGATCCTGACCTGCTATAATCACTGCGAGGGAACGGAAGGGCATAGGGCTGGGCTGATAAGGCGGGGCAGGGGGCTATGGAGATGGAGAGCCCGCAGTGTGCCCTGCAGAAATAGCAGGTGCTACTGCCACGGCCGACAGAAGGGAGAGGTGAAACGCGCACCTCGAAATGAAAAGCCAACCGGACTTCATACTGCGAGCACGCAATAGTACCCCCTCCATTCTTGCACCCACAAACAGCAATAAAACCCAGAAGCTCTATATATATTTATATACCCATTTCTGGGAAAAACACAGTGGGAGCGAGGTCGGGGAAGGAGCAAGGGAGGGGGTTCCTTTCATAACTAAAAATTAGCTATTTGGGGAGAAGCAGAGTAACTAGCTGTTGACATCCCAGAGAAAAACATTCCCCACATTTTGGTTCTTAGGGATCCACCAGTGTAGTAGCTGGTCAGCTTCTGCCTGTGTCCTACGAGAGCCCAGGCAGGTGTGGTCTCCTCGGGTACAGGCCCCCACTCAGCTTTTCTGGAGCCTTTTCAGCAATATTCACTGATGACCAAGGATCACCAGATACTTAGTGAAGTTTACATCATGAAAGAAAAGCAAATGCCTCTGGAGAAACATCACTCCAGAAGCAAAAGAGAAATGTTTTAGAAAAAAAATGTAACATGGGGAGATTGGGCATTAGCAGGTGCGTGGACAGAGGGTCATGGGGCCCAGAATGTGACCCAGCAATGTCCAGGAATGGACTGCTGGTGTGATTGACAAATTGCTTACCCGATATGAATTCTGCATCCAAATACATAAAGAACTCTCAAATTCCAACAATAAAAATTTTAAAACAATCTTTTTAACGGGCAAAAGATTTGAAGAGACCCTTCACCACAGAATACATACAAGCGGCAATAAGCACATGCAAAGATGCTCACCATCTTTGGTCATGAGGGAAACACCAATCAAACCACAATGAGACATGGCTACCTATCTCCCAGAATAACTAAAATTGAAGAAAATGACCAACAGAGGCTTGGCAAGGAGGCAGAGGTTCTGAAACTCACACACATTGCTAGTGGGAACGTGCAATGGTGAAAGCATTCTGGCAGTTTCTTGAAAAGTTAAACACACACTTGCTATATGATGCAAATATTTCCCTCCTAGGTAATTACCCAAGACAAGTGAAAGCATATATCTAATCAAAGACTTTTACATGAATGTACGAAGCGGCTTTATTTGCAACAGCCAAAAACTGGAAACAATCCAGTTGTCCATCAGCAGGTGAATGACTAACCATCTGGTGGTTGTGTCCATACAGTGGAATACTACTGCACCATAACAGAGGAATACACAGCAACAACAAAACGACGGTATCTCAGAATCACCATGCTGACTGAAAGAAGCAAGACAAAAAATAGCACAGACTGTATTGTGTAAGGTAAGTATTTGCCTGTGGATGGGAGCGAGGTCGGCGGGGAGGCTTACAGAAGGGCAAGAGGAAACATTTGGGGTTGATATTCATTATCTTGTTTGTGTGATAGTTTCCCATCTGTATGCATCAAATTATACTGTAAATATATGCAGTTCATTGAATGTCTGTTACACCTCAATGTTTTGAAGACGTAAGTTTATTATACCCATACAACAACTGGGTGCAATGAAAACAAAATGATCCAAGAACAGTGAATCTAGGAATTTAGAAAACAAAAATGTGGTAGAAAAGGTAGAAGGTAAAATCAAGTTGATCCTAGACAATATAACAAAAGGCCAAGAACCAAGAGACACAAGATCAATTAAGAGGTCCAACGTCTGACCTGTGGGTGTTACAGAAAAGCATTCTCTGT